TATATATATATATATATATATATATATATATATATATATATATATACGATATCCAATGTAGATTATGCTTTTATATTGCATAAATTTTATACAGGGGGAAATGCACTGTAATGCACTTTTGCTATTTTAACAGGGACAAAAAACGTCTTTCTTTACCAGTGGCGAAAGGTTTCGGATATCTCATAAGATATCATATGGGGACCGTGGCTTTCGGGGCTTTGATAATAGGCGTTGTTCGAGTGATCAGAGCCATGATCTCCTTCGTCCAAAATCATCTGAAACAATACGACAACGCTTTCGTGAAAGGAATACTATGGTGTTGCCAGTGTTGTCTCTGGTGTTTCGAGTGTGCTCTAAAATTCCTCACTAGGAATGCTTACATTGAGACAGGTATCCTTCATCAATCTTGAATCCTTCATTAATATTAAAAGTCTGTTTCTTGAATAATATGATCTATAACAATTGTAAAAAAAAAAAAAAAAAAAAAAAAATTTTAATTGATCGATGTACTGAAAAAACTGATGTTCTTTTTCAGCCATATACGGATGCAACTTTTGCACAGGCGGAAAGAAAGCGTTCCAAGTTTTGTCCAGCAACATTTTGCGAGTAGCGGCGATTAACAGCGTTGGTGACTTCGTATTGTTTTTGGGAAAAGTCCTCGTCGTCACTCTTACGGTTGTTTCGGGGATTTATTTGATGCAGGTACAGGTAAATTAATTCTACCATATTTTTATATTTCAAGGGCTTTACTAAGCACTTTAGTTTTACCCCTTTGCAGAAGAAAGAAGGACTCAATCATCCTTGGATACCAATCACTCTTGCGGGGATAATCGCATTCCTGGTCGCGCATTGCTTCATATCCATCTACGAGGTGAGTGACATATAAAGTAAGAAATCTAGTGAATATGTTCGAATTAAATAAATAACATAATTTCTATAAAAATGATTAATTTGTCACAGATGATCATTGACACGATATTTATATGCTTCTGCGAGGACTGCGAGAAAAATGACGGCATCAACCGACCTTATTTCATGAGCCGCGGTTTGATGGTTCGTATTAGCTGTAATAGGCGCATTAATATTATCATTTCTTAACAATCATAGAAAAAGAATTGTGAAAAATATCTTGTTCTCTTATTCAGGAATTCGTGGAGAACAGCAAGAAAGCTTTGAGGCAGCTGGAACAACAAGGTGCCACATAACAAGCGTTAAGCATTAGATTTCTTTTTCTTTTTTAAAGAATGCATTGTGGATTGTTTCGAAAATTTTTCAATTTTTGGCCAGTGTAACGATCGGTGTAGAACATACGCAGGATAGAATGTTACTGTATGTTCTTTTAATGTATACATCTTCGGGAGATAATCGTGAAATTGCGAAAAGGAAACAGAAATAGCTTCTTTTCCCATACGCACAAGCTGTCTTCTGAACATGCAACACAGTTATCAAAGTCGTTCCACATCAATGATGCAAGATAATGCGCACAATCGATTGCTTCGATCAATCCGACGGACTGACTACATTACGAGGAATGTTACGAATCATTCTATTTTCGAAGTTCCTATTTCTAAAAATATTTTTTTATATGATAAAATAGCTTTTCTACATAAACTTAGCCGAGATAGATGTGACGCCCGCCACAATTGTTGCGAATACGCTGATTTCACAGCCTCAACTTACGACGCGTATTCTTCGTACACGTGTAACTCTTCGACAGAAGTGATTAAGGAACAAATTAATTTATAAGACGCCGATTCTAGAGTATAAGTTTATAAAGTTATATCGTTACGATTGTACCCGTTCTCTGTCACTGTAAATATTTCTTTTTTTATAAAGTGCCTACGACGGATAAAGTTTTCATTTTGATACATATGCCGTATAAGATTATAACTGCTCTGATACTAATGATATAGCTGTACTATTTTGGAAGCGAAATATGTATGAGATTAATATTATATTGTACGTTATCAACGGACAAAACTCACAAATAAAAAAGTTTATGACATAAGCCTAATTACTGACATAACGCTTACTTCTTTTTATCCTTTTTCGAAAAAAACGGGATGGCGGGAAAGATAATATTGAAAAAAAAGAAGATACAACGGGTGAAATACAAGAGACTCATGGGGCAAGTGTCAACTTTATCATTTCAATTTATTTCATCTGGGCACACAGTGCATGAACGCTCTCATGCTTGGTTTACAGATTTCACGTTATGCCGGTTTTAGCAAAGTGGTGTGTCGTTAACACTGAGCTGGCAGTAAATCGGGGTGACGAGTCGGACACTACGGGGGAAATAACGGGGGAACTTTGGTCTGTTCAGGCCGGATAGACGTTTAGGACGAGTGAAAAGAGTAGACCGTTTTTTAGAAAATTCTCTCAACAGCGGCGTTACTCGCTAAGAACGGGGAATGGGTGACTAAACACGAGCAGCACAACAGCGATGAAGCCCGGCAGATTCGCGAACGGAATCCACACGCGTTCGATGTGGTACGTCAACTTGCAATTAAGTTTCGCGACATACATATACATATGTGCGTGTATCTTATCTCAGGAAATCCAGTTCGATGGATCGGCGTAATTCCGTATTATAGCACGAAAATATCTCATTCTCTCTCTCTCTCTCTCTCTCTCTCTCTCTCTCTTACTTATCAACTCTCTTTAGGATAAATCGGTTTTCCCAGGATATAGGAAAATGCCAAAGATATGTACATGGAAGAGACACTTTGCTCTATTTGCAGCTTCAGAATATACATTGTTCGAGTTATACGCGAGAGATGCCTTTGTTTTGTTACATAAATATAGGACCGAGACAAGCCGTACGTGACCTAGCGGGCACCTGCGAGGAAATCCTTCTTGAGCTTCGCGCTAAACAATTCTCCCGTCGTTGATTGCGGTAACAATAATCTTCGCCCGATTGTTCCGTAGCGGAGAGACTCTCTCTTGTATCCTAAAGTCCTATCGTTCCCGAGAGACATTACTCTCATACACCGAAATAACGTTAATGCCCATGTGTACACCGCAATTGTTAGCTCCGAGTTTTCGAAAGTAGCTCCCCGAGTTGCTGAACGGCGCTACGATACAGGGTGAAAAAGATAAAATTGAGTCGGGTCCTTAAAAATCAACGATTACACCGATACAAGGTACTTGGCTTTGTACAACTTTGTATTGCACTTTGTAGCTAGCGCAAAAACTTAGGTCTGTGAAATCTTACGAATTATATTATTTTTGGTCTCGTTTAGGTCATCGTCATCGTGCGACGTAGCAGGTAGCTGATAGTCGAGATATCATCGAAGTCATTGCGGAGTTCTCAGTCTTTATCAAAGAAGTTACAATCGACACATCTTGCAGACAGCCGCGAACCTAAAGATAAAAACAAAAAACGCGGGAGCAAGGGGGTTTGACGAGCAGCAGCGAATAATTGCTCTATGTTAACATCATTCCACTACCATTTTTCGAGCTTACTCTCTTATATTGTACGCTTTTATCGTAATCGAATAACATCGCATGTATGTATCATGACAAAGGTACCGGGGAAAAATGATCAATGTCCATCCGGAGTAATTTCGACATGGACATTGATCATGGATGGAAAAACGTAATTTTAAGTTTCAAGACATCAGATATCTTAAAAAGCTATTGATAAAAAAAATGTACAAAATGTAGTAAATATCAGAACGCAGCTTTAGTGTTTGTATGTTGGATTCTGATGGTTGTTCCCCACAAGCGCATGGATCATGATTGTTTTTTCCCCCAGCACAATCCATCTTTCGGCCTTATTTCCAATGAATTGTAACTGTTCTTGATCAAAACAGATAAGAATTATGAAAGTTCCTTAAAAATGCAACAAGGATCAGGCCAATTTCGATAAAAAGTGGACATTGATCGTTTTCCCCCTGTACCCTTCGTACATATATGAAACGGGAGGGCTGAAGAATGCACGAACTCGTGAAAAACCATCTCGATACTCGTCGAGCGTCCAGCACTCGATCGTCGAGATTCGCAAATTGATATAGAAACGCGATAAAAGGGTGAATCGGTGAAAGGGAAATCGAGAAATGATCGGAGAAATGACGATATTGCGAAAAAGCATTTATATCGCGACGAAAAGAAAGAATAAAATCTGATGACCCGCTACATTAATGAAAAATATTTCTTACTTTATGATTGTGACGCGCTTTTAAGTAGCGGATGACATCATTCGCGATGATGACGATGATAAGGAGACGATGACGATGACGATGACGGCATCCGTCCAAGCGACCGTTAATATGTGACGCGAGGGAATGAATGATCAAAGAAAACGTCGTGACGTGCTTAACCGGCAAGCACGTTCAACAGATCTCACGTCTATACTGTCCGCTGCCGATTATTTAGATCTACGAGAATGGGTCGTTAAATGACGATTGCTATTATCGCCTTACCCTTAAGCTTCTTAACATCTGTGCGCAATATTACGTAGGTACTCGGTGGGCTTTACGACGCGCGCTGCCTGTTCAAGAACACTTCTACTCCCGCATTCCGGGTTTAACGTATACAAATACCGCGGTGCGAGTTTCTCTCCCTTATAAATCGGTTCTTTCCTCTCATTTAGAATACAACTCAGGTTACCGTTGTAGAACACTCGCATTTCTATCCGATGTTAATTTCCGTTAATATATATGTATATAAATATATAGTCAACCGCCATTTGGAAACTATGCTCTTCGTCTTAATAAGTTAGGAAGCTTTGTAAAGGCAATGGTGTATCGTATAGGGGAAGAGAGAAGGACGAAGGGGGATCGCGTTAAACAAAAAGGAGAAATCGAAATGGAAAATGGGACGAGGAAGACGTTTTTTCGCATTGCACGACTCCGCATCGATCGGCCGCAAGTTTCAATCGTGACGTGGGATTGCTTTATCGGAGTTTACCGTTTGCGATGCATTATGCATTAAACCCGTGCTAGGTTCTTGCGTTGTAGATATTTAGAGAAGAGAGATAACAAAAGCAGCGATAATGATAATGGCAATGATAGTGATAATAATGACGATAGCACGAAGATGATAATAATATCTCTCGCAATAATAATAGCGACTGTAATAGTAATAGTAGCGGTAATAGTAGTAATAGTAGCGGTAGTAGAGTAATAGTGATAATAATAATATAGTAATAATAATATTATTAATAATATAATAATAATCATCATAAACTCTGCAATATTTAATACATTGTTTGTTCACATGGACTAGATATAGCTCTCTCAGAACGACCGAAAAATCGGTACGCTCCAGCTTCTCTTCTCTTATTGTTGTCTTGATCCCTGTGCTCTACAGACCAGCGGGAATATGATGTGATCAGTCAAGTACGGCAGACCAGACCCACGTAAATCTTTAATATCGTGGTTAGCGATTACCACTCGCGCGAACAGTCGGTTGCGCGTCCTTAACTTAACGTAACTTCGGCATCAGCAAGGAACAGATCATACCTTTATGGAAATATTAATTATGAGTACACTTTGCACTCTGAATTGCTTATAAAATGGTTCCTAAACAGATCTGACTTCGGTTCTGCACGTATAAAAATAATTAACTAGTGTTCTCCTTAAGGTGTATCAGAGACACGGCATCTACGCCGTTTTTTAAAAAAAGAAAAAATATATCAGATCTCTCAAACTATAAGAATATTTCTGTATCGATAAAATAACTCGCTAGAAATTATACGCAGTATCGAAAAAAGATTGTCGTGAAAGTAGTCCCGCGCGCACATGCCAGCTAGCTATGCTACTGGCACCAAAACGAACCTGGCCTTACCTATTCGCGCTCGTACGTGTCTCTCATCTTGCGTAACTAAGCGCGGGTTTGAGTTCTCTCCCTCTTTCGAGCGGAAGCGATTCATCAACAAAGGCTACAACACTTGGAAGAGTCTCCGAGATGAATGTGGCACACATTGGGCACACCGGCGCAGCCTTTACCGACGATGTTCTCCTGCACGAGATGCGCGAGGCCTAGATTCTGATTGATATCGCCGTCGCTACCGCGATGCTGCTTCGTTGCGGCATCGCACCACTGACGACGCTCCCGCCACTTGTCCTCGACCAGCAGCATCGATTTAGGCGACGGCGGACTCACGCGGTCGCGAGTGATGCTACCGCACGAGCGAGCTTTGTAGAGGCGTCCCTTGCCAAAGATACCCGGCAGCGGTACGCAGAGCTTCTTGTGCACAGCAAAGTAACGGCTCAACAACCGAATCTTCCTGCTCTTGCACTCGTTCCGGTTCATCGAGCCGTTACCACGATTCTCCTTGTCGTTGCACGCCGCTTGACTCGCGCACTTATGATCGCCGCTGACCGTCTGACAATCGTCCGATTGCCGACAGCCGGCGTTATTATTATTCTTTCCATCGGGACTGCGAGCCGATTGCTTGGAGCCTTGCGACATCAGGGATTTTCCGGTGCTGAGCGACTGCAACAACCTCGCTCCGAGACCTTTCGCCTTCTGCACCGTAGTGGTTGCCATTTGAGACACAGGTGGAATAACATTGTGCTGAGAAGCCGTGCTATTTAGCGACACCGACGACGACGAGGAGACGTCCTGCGTGCCAATTACAGCCGAATTGCGCGATACGTGACAATGATTGTGACAGGACGAGGGTGCCTCGGCCTCCTGGACCTCGGTGATACGATTCAACGACTGGCTCTCCCGCAATCGCGTCTCGCCGGCTCTTCTCCTACCAGCGCGATGCCTCCTGCCAAACATTACCTGGTTCTCGGTGCACCGATGCCGCCCTCCTCCGTTCGTTGTGCTCGTGTTTGTCGTGTTAGTGCCGCTACCATTGTCGTTTCGATTACTCTCGGTTGTCGTCGGTGTATCCGTCGTCGTGTGCTCGCCGTTGCTCACTCCGCTCCCTCCACCGCCGACTCCACCTCGCCCGCCGCCGCTTCCTCCTGGATCCTGCGAATCGCTCGAGTCGTCGTGACTGTCGCGTCTCGGAGGTAAGGGCTTGCCCGTGGACGCGCCGAGTTTGTGCGCTCTCTTTTTCCTGCTCTCGCTGTCGTCGTCACTGGCGTCTGAGCTCGAGCAGGAGGTCGTGCGCGTCTTGTGAAACTTACTCCTCCGTTGCTCGTATGTTGTTCGCCTAACGACTCGGCATTTGGTCGTCGAATCCCTGCATTCTGTGGAGTTCACCGACGCGTGCGTGCCATCCCCGTCCTCCAGGATTTCATTGAGCGTGAGTTGTGTCGCAGACGAATTACCGCTAGGCGACGGCATCGTCTTGTACTTAGGTGTTAACGTCACTTGATTGTCGCTAATCGGATGAAGAGGTATCGAGACAGTCGACGATTCGTGTAATGTTTTGGTAGGAGTCATCGTTGTTATCGTCGTCGCAGATACGTCGGACGGTTTTGAGGAAATCACTGATGCAGACTCCGTGAGCGGTACGCTAAACCGATGGTGCTGAGCACCCATTCTCCACTTGTTCGCCGGTATTGGTCCAGTCGATTTTAGACACTCCGTCACCGATTTGGGCCTGGCTTCCGTGTTAGTGGCTTTTCTAGTCGCCCATCCGGCCGATGGAGTGTTCGCGCCACTCAATCGGTTCTTCAGATTTTCCTCACATGTCGTGGTAATCCGCACAGTTACAGGCAGTTTCTCTAAGAGTACGTTACCCGTTTGGACCTTGTCTGCCTCTTTCGGATGCACCGACGACGACGTCCTATTATCCTTCTCGTTTCTCAAAGTCTGCTTCAGTCTTTCTCCCCTGTGCGATGATTCGGCGATAACAGTATCCTCTTTTTGGTGCGGATGCCGTTGACCCAATACAGGCTTTGTGCCCGTATGCTTCTCCGGAAGCTGCGATAATCGCTCCTGCAGAATATGCGAGAGCTTCCCCTCGGAACGAGAACCGCGACGATTAAGGGAATTTAGCGTCGAATTACTGCCGCGTTCGTCTCGACCAGAACACGAGGACACGTCGTCCTCATCTTCCTCTTCTTGAACAATACTGCATTTTCGTGTACGCACGCTCTGCAACGAGAACAGTCATCTTTGTTTTCCGCGCCAGGAACGCTATTCGGCAAACATATTATGTGTTTGCCTTTAACATTATATTCATCACATATTAATCGATGTGTCTTTTCAGACAATAAACATGCGATACGTACCTGCGGTATGTCACCAGGTGTCCGTGGCACGGTTAATAGTGACTGGTTCGTAGTATTCAGGGAGTTCTCATCCGTGTGTAGATTTGATGTTAGATCATCCTGCCGACTGCATAAAATTAACAGCACACATTGGTATATTAGTGATTTCATTAAAGACGGTATGCTGCATAAATATTTAGATCTAGCATATCTTATAAATGAGTCACATACAGCAGCAATACTAATAGGTGTGATTCAGTTCACTTACTTTGATGAAACATCTAGAGCTTCTGGTCGAGTCTTCTGCATCTGTTCTTGTCGATGAGCGCGCAATTTCCTCTCAGCCAGTAAGAAATACGTCGCGGTGATATGATTGTATTCGTTCTTGTCAAGTGCACTGTAAAAAGATCCATAATAAGAATGGCCAATAAAAGCGCCGAAGACGCATGCTTAAAATATACTAACACGCAAAAAGGCACGATCAAAATGGTCAAATCTCTTCCTAATGTCTACTCACTCCAATATCTCTTCCTTAGTGGCGATGCCACCGTTAACCATTTTGGTAATTATGAGATTGTGATGATCATCGGAGACCTGTTGACGCGACACGAGCGGCAGCGTTTCCATTGTGTCCAAGCCGGAACCGATCGATAACCACGGATCTGCGGCAATTTCTTCGAGGGACGCTCTACCTTCGGGTTGCCGCACGAGCATCCTCGCGATCAGCCGCTTGCAGCCGTCGGACACGTGCGACGGAATCGAATACTTGCAGTCCATGATCATCGTTAACGTCTCGCTGTCGTTCGCTTCTTGAAACGGCGCTTGGCCGCATACTAACATGTATAGTATTACACCTAACGACCAAACATCTGCAACAAATTGAAGTAATAAACGTAGTCCATCGAAGCGAGTCTAATAATTTCACTTTCGTTGTACCGTATTTTAAACAAGATTCTTTCTCTTGAATTTAAAGTTCATTACTTCTTAGCAAAACTTTCGACGAAAAACGTAACTTCGACATTAATTCTCTATCGTTAGAATTAGAATTTGAAAGTCGCAAATAGATAATAGAGTCTTAATAACTCAGGTTATCTTAATTTTTAATTAGCTTAAACTACGGCGTTGTCCGGGATTATCACAAAATCTCAAGGGAATGAAATTAGGGGAAGGAGCTGGAGTATTCGAGTTTCATAGTAGCCTATATTTTCTATACAGGGTTCTAACTTTGATCCAGATCAAAGGGTTTAGGAGTTAATAGGAAACATACAGAGAGAGATATTCTATTATATATACATATATATATTATACAGATTACATTAATTAATGAGCTTACCTACTGCGGGGGCATCATAACTATCGCCCAGAAGTATCTCTGGAGCGGAGTACGCTAACGAGCCACACGAAGTCTCGAGCTTTTGACCAGGACAGAATCTATTGCTAAACCCGAAGTCCGTAAGCTTCACTGTACCGAGCTTTTCAAAGAACACGACATTCTCGGGCTTTAAATCTCTGTGCACCACGTGTAAACGATGACAGTACGATATGGCCCGAACTATCTGCCGAAAGTAAGTCCTGGCCAGCTGAGACAAAGAAAAATTCAAACATTATGATTCACACAACGCACCTGTGATAATTATTCCATAATTTTAGAAATTTAGTCAACGTCGTATACACTTATTGTTAGTAAAAAATGACATAAAAAGATTTTTATCTCTCAAAATAATATTCAATCATATTAATTCTAAATTGAATACAAGAGTTTCTGTATAATTTATAATAATAAATTTGTAACAATTTACATTCAAAAAAATTCACATCAGATATATTTTAACTTTACATCAGAGATCTAAACTTGTACCCTTTTGTTCGCGCGGTAATTACAAGCCGATGGCATAATAAAACGACAATAGCCGTGCAACAATACCTCTTCGCTGAGGCCGCTGTCGTGGCGCATGATGTAATCGTAGAGATCCCCGCCATCGCCGAGTTCTAGAATTAAGTATAGCTTGGTCTGTGTGTCTATCACCTCGTACAGCCGCACCACATTAGGATGCTGCACCAGCTTCATACACCGCACCTGCGGACACAAACGGCTCGCAATCACGATTGGAAAAGCAAACGAAACTCGTTTCGTTTGAGCGAATTTAAATCCGGGGGTCAATAATTTTGTCCGTCATCCATTTGCATCATTATCTCGCCGACCTTTAACGAGATCTATCCGCTATAAGGTCTATCTATCTGCGATGCAACTACGCGAGATAATTCGATCGTCGGTTACTATCGAGCCATCAAAATGACATTACGCGAATCAGGATGTCATCAATGACTCTATCATTTCCATTAGGACATCAAACAGGCGCAAAGAAACTCTGGCTCGACGCGATTGCACAGTCACGAACCGTGCAAAATAGAAACACAAACAACGATCAGAATGTCATTACAGTTCTATCTGTCGTATCTGAATATTAAATCTCACTTGGAACAAGAAGTAACCCTGAAACAATGTAACTTGGCTTTGTGTAAAGAAAGATAAAAAAACAAAGAAAAAAAGCACAAAGAGCAATTTAAATTCAGATTTTTTGTAAGCTTCTTATGGGCTTTATACATTTACCGGTTTTCTAATGTTTATCTAATAAGTCACTTTTGATAAAGAACCGTTTTCTCCGTTCGTTTCTTTTTGCAAATAGTAAAAGCTCAAACCGGATGAGTCGCCGGAGAACTTGAAATTACATCGCGACAATCGGCAGAAATGACCATTTCGTGAAATGACTTCAGTTACGTTTCTCTCACCTCCTGGAAAAGGTGGGCCCTCGAAACCTCGTCGAGCTTGCTCTTGTCGATCACCTTCACTGCGACCTTCTCACCGGTGAAAACGTGTCGTGCCAGCTTCACCACGGCGAAGTGACCGCGGCCGAGCGTCTCCTCCAGGTCGTAAAGCCCGGCGATCTTGCCATCGTAATTGCTGTATCCCACTCTTCGATTCATCTCGTGCCGCTGTAATGCACATTGCAAGGTTTTTTCGTATGATAAAAATGATATTGCTTATCTAATAACTATTAAATTTGTCCTATACATATGCGAAATCCATAAATCAAATCAAATATATGCAAGAGGAAGTGGGTGTTTGTCTCAGGTCGGATTTTTATTTAATTCTTCTATTTACTTTCTACTTGTGATTTTCGCAAATTGGAGATCCCCAATTGGAGAATTACATACATTTTGGAAGATTATCGCGTTCCACAAATAAGATAAACAGATTGCTTCGTCAAAATTTATTTACGTTAACTTAACGCTTCGTTTAATATGACAATATTGAATGGATAAATTTGAAATATCGAATTCTGATCGATCATATAGAAATGTTGAACGATATAGTCGTGTAGATACGTCGAGTCGGTCCATTCCGCGCGAGAAAGAGGTCACTATTATTTTTAGCGCTTTAGTAGGAGCAATAATTAATCGCTTCGCCATCCGTGGACGTGCGATCGGCAGCGGTAAAAAAAAGGTACACACACTCGGTAGAATGACAAGAGGTGCTATATCGCTTTGGAAAAATACATAGTGGGAAGCTAATGGACCGAACACATGCAAACGTTTGACGCTAAATATAGTTATCCGATTCAAACTTTTACTCACAAGTGAACGAAGTGGGTTTACGTCGCGCCTGGAATGTATACAGAGTGCTTAGAAATCGTGCATAATCCTCGAATTGATTTTTCCTCGATGAATATCGGATTAGAAACTCGAGTAACTGGAGCGCGAGAAATCTGTTGTCCATCGATCGTATCGAGGCGCGATACTCGGCAGGATCGTTTATTGCGTATGATTCGTTCACTTTCTGAAGGACCGATGACTTAAAAAACAAAATTGTAAATGTACCAAGCCGGGACACTTATGTTTAGACACCTTTATCATTTTAGTTTTTAAATAAGTATGACGCGAATTAAGACCAAAGATAAAAATATAATACAAGAAAAATATTTGTATCTTTGATTCTTTGATTTTAATTCGCGTTATAACTTATTTAAGGACTAAAATGATAAAAATGTTCAGACATAGATACATTTACCTTAACCGTGATATCTCACTTCGCTCGCCTGTCCCGCCTCCGTTTGTCTAACCGTCTAACGCGAAGATAACGCTAATGCGAACACGGGGTGAGCAGTGCACGAACAAATTTAGCGCCGGATGGGAATAAGAGCCAATGTTGCTGCCGAGGGAACGCATTGTCTTTGGCGGAACGTAATTGCGAAATGCGTCGCCACGGTGCACCGCGATACGACGCGACGCGACGCGACGTGCCGAGGCTGCGATTTGCCGGCGCAATATCTCGCATTCCGCCCTCCCTCCGTCTCTCCGCTTGTGTTCTTGTTGGACATATATATACATCGCGTTTCTTTGTCTATTTTCATAAATATTTATTTTTCTTTGTTAAAGGAAAGGTCAATAATCGAGCAATTATTGCTCGATTATTGGCCGTTCCTTTACCAATTGTTATACGAGCGTGCTAGTTTATTTTATTTATTTTTCTTTCATTATATACATACATCACCGCCTGTTTTCGTGCCTGAAGAGATTTCCCTTCCCGGGATAAATTAATAATGTGCTCTCTCTTTCTCTCTTCCGTTCTCCCGTGTATATAAAGGGGCACGCGAAAATACAATACGACACGGCGGGGTCGCGAAAATCTCGACCCACGACTACACCCACGTTTTCCTTTGGGATCCACAAAGGAGTTTCTCGCCTCCTCCGTCGCCTGCCTGCCATGCGGAACGCGGCCACGCGCGTATAAGCAGCAGCCCCCGTCGGGAGCCGCGAATCACTTCCTCCGCGCCGTGCGTGCTCCGGATGCTCGTACCGAGGATTACGACGGAACGCAAAAATAAACCTTCTCGAGCGACGCGGCGAGAAGGTATATACCAATAAGGAGGCGAACCGCTACGCGACCACGCTACGCGGTCAGCGCGTCAAAATTTCTCCTCGGGAAAAACAGGTCCGAAGGTCCTTTCAGCCAGCCGCGACGAAAACAGATCGGATTAATGCCTTAACGATCGGAATCATTCGCGCTTGCTGTGCAATTTATAGCAAATGCTGACGCAAGACTGACATTCGCTAGCCGAGGTTTACGGCTTTTATTTCGCGCGCAAACGCGTCCATTGGCTATGTCGCGTATATAAATAAGACCGGGAGTATTCTCTCCCATTCTCGCCGGCGTTATTATTATCGACGAGCGTTCCCCTGCACCGTCGTTCATTGTTAAGATAATAAATTATCTGGCCGACGTATTAATCCATTAAGGCAAATCGACTATCGCGTTGCGTGCGCGCGCCGATTTACGCTCGCGGATATCGCGCAAAAATTCGCGCCGTAACGAAATGTTTATCGCGTTTACACGAGATAATGCGTGATCGATTGCGCGCTCCTCGGACGCTGATTCAATTAAAATAAATCACGGCGCGCGCGCGGACGTCATATCGATGCGTTTTGATTCTTTACGCCGTTACGTGGGAAATTAATCGCTATTACGCAATCGTTATTGATGCCATTACGGCATTGCGAAGTAATGTAATTCCGCGACGAGTCGCGACCGCATGGAGGTTCCACGAGCATTATCTGGACTTACGGATAGCGCGATTGATAAGCGATAGTGCGATTAACAATTTGACTGACGTGATCACCCAAATTTTATTTTACGTTCGTGGACTGTTAACTCGCGGTGACCTACATAAATAATATTCGAGTATTCTACGTCATTCCTAAATTATTGTTGGCGCAGCACTGGCGCTTTGAAGGACTACGCTATATAGTTCCGGGAAAATACAAATGTTTACACATGGCAAAAATAATAGAAAAATACCCCGCGGAAAGAGAAAACAAGCAAAACATAACTTTGTCAAATAACGCAAAATTTGAAATGTTTTAAAAATGTAGTACGTGTATTTGTGTAATTTAATATAATAAAAAAAAAAATTAATGTAATAGTAAAAAAACTAATTACATTATATACATAAATACATGACAATTACACCTATTTTTTTCTACTTGTATATTAATTTTTTAAACATTCATATTAAAAGTCTTCTTATATTAATTACATTTCGCATTTTTCCTGGCATTATAGATCCAATCCTCCTCTGACAGGAATCTTCGTGATCAATAATCTGCTGCTGCTCCTCTGGAACGGTGGAATATCAATTCTGGATATTCAGGGCGTTTATTATCACTAACGGGTAATTTTCCGCGCGCAAGGAAAGCGGGCGTCGTCCGAATCATCCTTTATCCATCTCTGGATCCGTCACGTCGCGGCGAATTGAACTTGACATTTAGCCGATAACGACGCTTCGCTATCAAGATCTACCTGGTGCGCGGGCACGTCCGCGATGTCAGCCTGACCTGCTTTTACCGCACGTGTCCGTGTAATAATGAGATGCACGAGCGTACGTCAGTTGCACGTAATAAGTTTACGGACTTTTCGGGGCGAACACCTGAAAACGCACTTTATACCAACCGCGAAGCACCGAAAGACGTCGGATGGATGTGATCAATGACGTCGCGGGCTTTTATTTCAAAGTAAACCCTCAAGAAGTGCGAAAGTTATCTGGTTACCGGTTCGATTAAGTGGCGAGAGAAAATTACACCGAGATACGAGATTGATAGTAAGGTAAATATTGTCCGATACTTAATATCGCCCCCGCTCCCTTAATATCGGAGTAATATTCAAGCTAAAGATGTGAAAGTCTTCCACGATTTTGCGAATAACGCGTTTATTACCTCGCGAAAGGGCGCGAGGGAGGATTCAGCGGTGATTTTCTCGAAAACGCAGTTTTCGAGAGGCCGTAGATATTCCGTTCGAACGGAAACTTCACGCTCGGAACGTATAATCCGTTTCGACGAGCGTAACGCGCGTGGACCCGCATTTGAAATTTAGATCGCGCCGTACGCGTTCTCCTCATAGACCGCGTTTCCCGGATGCAGGCGTAAACGGAGCGTCGTACTTTCTGAACACTTTCGCATTCGTGCGGACGCGGAAGTCGCGAATCAACGGACGGGGGAAACATATCGTGCGCGGCGCGTTGAATCTCCTGCAAGGCCGGATTCATAGTTCGTTCTGGATTTCAAAATCGTCTTAAGTAACGTTTTAAGATGCTAATACGGCTCTGTGATTGGCTTATAACATCTCAAGATTGTACTTAAGACGGTCAAATAAGAGATCCGGCTATGAAATACCGGTCCAAGATGCACTCGATGAGGCGGATCGAAATAAACTGTACCGTTGCGATCGCGTAATAGCCGGTGGAAGATTGACAGGCGTATATCGGTGGAATTCGATGTTACAGAAAGGTCGACAACGTGCCAACGCGGCCAACGACTGTTGACTGACCACTATCCGGGAAATCGCGTCTCGATACACACCTGTGTGTCGGTGTATCGCACTCACAAACATGGAACGTGTTTCACTAATACGCTTTTACAACCCCTTGCACTTCTCTCTCTTTCGCTCAATAAATCAATTAATCTGTCCGATGAGGCATGCATTTTGTGAAAAGTCTACTGTCTATATTACTCTATTGGAAAAACGTGACATTTAAAACGTCATCGCATGATCCCGTCTTATTTTTATACACGCACAGACAAGATTAACAATATTGGAATTATTTAACGAGATAAGCTATTAAAGTCAGGCAACGGTCGTTTTAAATACACGCACGTACGTCATACATTTGTAATGTCGTACGTAATGTAGATTAATTTTATACCATGAAGTTATTTGAAACTCTGAAGCTTTCTATTAATATTATTTCGACATTTAATGCTATTGTATTTCTAAATTCTAGTACCATAAATTTTATATAATAAAAATTAGCACAAAAATGCGCCTTATGAGTTACCGCGATTCTTTCATGCAACAATGAAAAAACTTACAGAGAATTAATTCTTTTACTAGAATAAATGTAAGAATTTGAAAAGAATAGGACTTTTCCACTTATAGAAGT